ACTCCAAACGTCGCAGCTGGTCTTCGAAGACCCCGCAACATATTAATCAAACCCCCAGTTCCACTAGGTAGATTACCGTAATCAAATCTTGTCCGGTCGCCGGTCTAGGGTTTTTACATTTGGCGTATCTTCGTCTAATTTACCCCATAAACAATAAAATTTTAGGTAAGTGCCTTTACCATAGTAGAGAATTGGCCGTAAGCGCTACGCTGGACTAGCAGATTGGTGATCATAGACATAAGAAAGTTAGAAGTCTCGCTCATATGTCACCACTTCTCACCACCGATGAGAGTATTTTAATCTAGTCGGTGTTTTACATATGCATCTGACAAAGCCGTCAGCAATAGAAGACTTTGTACCATTTCTCAACCTTGGTAGCTCAGATGGTTAGCGCTCGCTGTAAATTTCGCAGTACGCGAGCAAACCATGTTCGATCCCCACCTGCGCCAATGAAATTGTTAATTGAAATTTTAAGTGCTGATTTACCACGTGTTCGGCGGTGAAGGAAAACATCGTGAGGAAACCTGAATGAGAAAAAAATATTTCGAAGATATGTGAAGTTCGTAAACAAGCATTCGTACAGCGCGGCGGACAATTCATTGCCTTAAAAAGTAGAAATGAGCAAAGGCCTGTGCCCAGGAGTAGGACGTATATAGGCTGTAACTTTTTCTCATACACACTTACGGGGGATCATCTAACGCCGCCACCGCAGCGTTCTTTTCCCGTTTACTGATAGCGAAATAAAATTCATCATCAAGTCTCATACCAATACTATAAGCAAACGAAAAAAGGTTTTAAGATTTACTTTTATTGTACATGAAACAAAATATCTTTATATACTCGTATATAATTCCTCTTTAGTTTTGATTGTCGCTGAACTCCTCCTAAACGACTGGAAGGAATTTAATGTTTTTTTTTTGAGTACGCCCTTGGATGGTTTAGATTCACAATCGGACCCGGAAGTTTGCACTGTTTTAGAGATCCAGAAATCACCCATGCGAAACCTGGGCGGATTGCTAGTTTCAATATATAAAATAAAATCAATAAATATCAGCGTTACGATAATATATTTTTTTTTATTTTTATAATTTAAGTTTTATGTTTCCTTTACGTAAGAGGTTCTATTCACTCAGTTAATAGTTTGACAATTAAAATATTTATTTCAACTCTTATCTTATCTCACGTCGCCATTACACGACATGTCATTTTATTGTATACTAGCGATCCGCCCTGGGTTCGCTTGGGTGGGATCTATTATTGTGACTTCATTAAGGTTTAAGACATTCAAGGACTATTTATTTTAACAATTTACGTTTTGAATAAAACTGTTTATATGGATTATATCGCGTTTAATTAACTTATTTTGAATTCCTAAAGTTTGCGTAGATCGGTAGATCCCGATGCGTAGATCGGACTAAAAATTAATACTCAAAAACTGAAGTTAGCCGGGCTAACTATGACATTGGCACGTCAAACATCCCAGTCCCCCCGTGACCATGGGTGCTGTAAAGCACCCAAAACGTATGAATAGTTAAATTCAATGTGTAGTGTTCACGTAAATGTAAGAAATCTTTAATTTTTGTTTTTTCAAAAAATATCTACGATTTTAGGATAAAATATAGCCTAACTCACTCCTGGCATTGCACAAAGTGAGAGTGCAACGTCCACTCTCTCTCTCTGTTCGTAAAGTTTCATTACAATCCGACCAGACAACAAATCATAGCCCGGACAGACAGACAAAAATTTAAAAAATGTTTATTCATGTCTTATTATATAATACACGTTTATTTCGATATTACAGTGACAATTCAATTTTAATTATATTTATATAGATGCATAGATGATACACAAATATTAATAATTATGTAGTTTGAGTTTGGGCTTGCGATTGTCTCTGAATACTGGCCTTACACAGCTAGAGTAAGTTTTTAACACATTTCTAAACTATTTTAGACCAGTGCTTAACCACTTTCCCATGCGATGTTTAAGTGGTGATGCCGGAAGATAATATAATAATATATAGACGATAATATATTGTGTTGTTATAACTGTGTACATCCAGACATAAGACGGGGACCAGCTTTAAAGCTGCAAGACATCTGTTACTGTTACTGATAAACAGAATGCGAAGCGCAGTGATCATGGCTATCCTTCATACGCCTCCTTAGCCGCGGTAGCTCAATGGTTAACCGCTTATCGCGTAAATATAGTGGTACACGTACCAGTTTCGATCCCCGCCGATACCAATAAAATTGTTAAGAAGATGGACGGCAGCATCTGTGAGGTATTATCCCAAAATTTGAAATAATAAAAGAGATTGATCTGGTAAAGGTCTATATAATGTGAAAGTCTAAGGTAAAATGAATAAGCAGGTAGTGACGAATAAAATTATAATGAATATTACATACATAAAATGTTAGAATTAAAAGCTATAACAATCTAAGGCGCATGATTGCTAATGAAATGGATCAGGCGTCAACAGCATCTTTCTGTTAACAGCAAAAACAAAAACAACTGCGGTTACCAACCCGCTCGCCAAGCGTGGCAACTATGGCAATATACCCCCATGAGAAACGACACAAAGAAAAGGCACCCAGTTCCCGACGGCCCCGCTTTTCATCACTACGGTGGCGACCATGGTAACGGCGGGGCAGGGGGTGCTAAGGATCTCCAGTGGAGGTTCGGCTACCACTTAAGACGACTCAACAGGGCAACGTATAACGCACGCACCCTGAGAACTGGCGAGAAGATCCTGGAGCTAGAAAAAGAGATAGACAAGTTGCGCTGGGGTATTATAGGATAATCTGAGTTCCAACGAGAGGGGGAGGACACGGTGATCCTCGAATCCGGCAACTTGTTCTATCACCGGGAGGGTGACCATCTGTCCCAAGGTTTATCGTCCACAAGTCTCTCGTTAACAACGTTGTGAAGATTGGGAGTGTGTCGATGAGGGTTGCGTACATTATACTCAGAATCACCAAACGGTATTCGCTGAAGGTCATACAGGTTTACGCACCAACCTCGGCACATCCCGATGAGGAAGTAGAAGAAATGTATGAGGATATCTCTAGAGTCATACATTTCTCCAAAATCCACTATACGGTGTTAATGGGAGACTTCAACGAAAAACTAGGCACAAGAGAGAACAGTGAGCTGAAAGTAGGGGAATTCGGAATAGAGAAACAAAACCCTAGGGACAGCTCTTTTATGGAGAAATAGGGACTCTTTATGATGAACTCTTTCTTCCAAAAGCGGCCCCACAGAAAGTGGACCTGGTCGAGCCCCGATGGTTCGACAAAAATGAGATTGACTTCATTATGACGACCAGACGACAACTGTTCAGTGATGTATGAGTGATCATCATCATCATTACAGCCCTTCACAAGTCCACTGCTGAACATAAGCCTCCCCCAAGTAATGCCACAAAGCACGGTCCTGAGCCACCTGCATCCATCGAATTCCTGCATGTCTTACCAGGTCGTCACTCCATCTAGTGGGGGTCGCACTACACTATGCCTACCGATACGAGGCTGCCACTCGAGAACCTTTCTTCCCCATCGGTTATATGTATGTCGGTTATATGAATCTGAGACATGGTCCTTCACTGCTGGCCGTATGAGGAAGCTCAAAGTCGCTCAGCGAGCTATGGAGGAGGCTATGCTCAGAGTTACTCAGTGTGATAAACTTAGGAATGAGGTTATACGCAGTAGAACCAGAGTAACCGACATAGCCCAACGGATTAGTAAGCTGAAGTGGCAATGGGCCGACCATATAGCTCGAAGAACCGATAACCAATGAGGGAAAAATGTGAAAAGTGTCAGACTCGTACTTCGTGAAGTGTAGGGCGTCCCCCCACTAGATGGAGTGACAACCTGTTAAGACATGCAAGGAAGTCGACGGACGCGCGTTCGGACCGTGCTTTGTGGCATTCCTTAGGTGAGGCCTATTTTCAGCAGTGGACTTGTTGGCTATAATGATGATATATATATATATATATATATATATATATATATATATATATATATATATATATAAAAATATACTTAGAAAGGGGTATAGGGTTACAATTTAGTAGGTAGGCGTTACAATTTCAGCCTATCAAAAAAAAACACTGCAAAACATAGGCCCCCAGGCCTGGCCTCATACGAGGTACATTTGTCATAGTTGCCACGCTTGCTAAGTGTAGCGATAATCCTTTCCCTTCAAATTACCCTTCATACGATCATAAGCCGAGTCTGAGGTATAAAACATTTCGGGGACACAGCAACAGCGGAAAAGGAACGGAAGAATAATTGCTTCACAACTCTCTTAGAAGTGAGAGAGGTCTTCTGTGCCTAGCAGTAGACGTATATAGGATTGTAATTTTACTTCGTACGAGGTCCATGGCTAGCAGTTGCTGCACGGGCTGATAAAGAAAGAATCAATAAATATAACTTTTTTAATTCGATATCACATAATATTATATTTTTTGGTTTTAGCAAGACATAAGAATATTTTTATCATAATGGCTTTTATAATTACTAAGCTATAATTAGCTTAACAAATACAAAATATATGAGGCTCTTACCATTAAAACAAGTGCAACAAAAATTTATAGAAATGCTTAACAAACAAATTGATCGCAATCAGTATGAATCCACTGTAAAACATTTAATTAATTTAAAAACCTATTGCTTTATAAAAATATAATTTAAGGGAATAACAATTATATTGCGGAAAACCCAAATAATTTACATAATTGTCAGAACTTAATGACTTAGAATCATGCTTATCTTCAATGTTAAATAAACCACAAAATTTGTGGCTCTCTTTTTACATTATGCATTTATTCTAAATAGCGAAATTTTATTCAATTTAAATATTTTAATAATACACACAAAACTTTGAAGCAATTTTCTTTCTTCTTTGGTAATGGACTCGTACTGTTGTACTTTTGCCAGTGTCAAGTATTATTGAAACAATTTTAATTTCCACTAATATCCAAAGGTATAACTAAATAATCACTGTTTAATCTCAATTCTTCCGTCAGTGGTGACATTTATAGGTGAATTTTCCTTTAAGTACAACTCTAATATTTGCTCATCTCGACCGATGATTTTGACATTGGTTTTTCCGTTTTTAAACATCTGTAACAAAATGGAAATTAAATAAAATAAATGGTCGGTCGTTTTAACTTTTCAATTAAGATAAGCTTAAGGTATGCTGTAGAACTATGAGTGGACAGGTTATCACTAAAATTTACTTTTCATTCGATTTTTTATCAATGTCAATGATGTCAACTAACTAAATAACTTTACTTTGTTACTGTCACAGCCTTACTTTATTTGCAATGAGTCTTGTGTTTTGTGTAAATTTACATTTATTACGATTAAAATACGTAGACAAACGGCGGGATTTGATATGTGAAATGCCTGAAACTACAATCGTTAATCTTCTTATCATACGTTCAGTAGTGATTCTATATTTACGGGCTGATAAAGAGACACAAAATGAATGAAAAAAATGGAACTACGGTGCAATAACAACACAAGCTGAACCCTTTCCTTCTAACTTATTTAGGTATTCTGCTCCTTGCAATTTTTTATGGTATCATTTTAATATATATATATATATATATATATATATATATATATATATATATATATATATATATATATTCAATTGCTAACTATATATATGCAATATATGCGGGAAATAGAGTAAATGGGGCCTTGCACTCTATTGTGAAGAGTCAAAATTTGTCGAAAAAGGCACGTATGGCAATTCACAATGCTGTGTTGGTCCCTACTTTAACGTATGGTAGTGAAAGTTGGGTGTGGCAGAAGAAGCACGAGAGTAGAATAAACGCAGTAGAAATGCGGTCGTTAAGGAGTATGTTAGGGCTGAATCTGAATGACAGGGTAAGGAATTATGTAATAAGAGAAGAGTGTGGCTTGCAAGATGATGTGGTGACCAGGATTAAGAAAGGAATGCTTCGGTGGTTTGGTCATGTGGAAAGAATAAATGAGGAAAGAGTGACAAAGAAAATTTATGGTGCAGAAGTGAATGGCAGAGTCGGAAAGGGACGTCCTAGGCGAAAATTTATCGACCAAATTGGCGATTTATTGAAAACGGGCCAAATTAGGAGTACCCTTAACCGACGAGCATGTATGCGTAGGTGTATGGATGTGAAGGAGGCAAGAGAGGTGTGTCAGGATCGTGCCAAATGGAAGTCTGTAGTCTCTGCTTACCCCTCTGGGTGACAGGCGTGAGTGTTTATGTATGTTTATGTATTATCAATTCCGACATAGTTCAACGGATCAGTAAGGTAAAGTCATATAGCTCGAAGGACCGACAGCCAGTAAAGAAGCAAGTTTTTCGAGGAGCAGCCTCATACCGATAAGCAAAGTGTAGTGCGGCTCCACTACATAGGCTGGCAACAAGACGTACAGGTTGTCGATGGATGCGGGTGGCTCAAGATCGTGTTTTGTAGCATTCCGTTGGGGTGGGGAGGGCTATGTACAGCAGTTGACTTGTGAAGGGCTGTAATAATGTTAATGACGATGATGTTAGTATTTAGCAATAATATAAAATAAAGTAAAATAACGTACCTGGAAACCATCTCCTCCATCAGCTAAATAACCCGGCGCAGTGACCTGGTAAAACTGTTCATCATTTAACGCTGTGTTGGACTCCGAACTACCAACATTGACTTCTATAACACGTTGCCCTTCGGGTTGCGAAATATTATATTTCACTTGTAGACCTAAAAACAAAACATATTTTTGTATCATATTAGATTAGCTAACCTCCTCATAATTTATTTTTAAGGACATAGAAACTTACAGCCCATTCATGGTAAAATACATTCAATTTCAAATAAAAAAGGCTGCAGATACGTCTTCACCATAGGATTTTTGTTACATACAAGATGTAAGAAAAACCCTATGGTTTTCATTAAGTGCGTTATTAAAATCAGTATTCAAACGTGGGGAAATAACTTCAGAAAACTCGACCTTAAAAGAAATAATTTTTAATAAATTTTGTTTGATTTTCTTACCCCTGCATTAGCTGGGGAGTAAGAGTATAGTCAAAGACCCCAGTTTATCGAGTGCGTATCGAGGGGACTGAGGTGTTTGACGTCCCAATGTCATAGTTAACCACTACTACCTCCAGATTGATTAAAATTATTAATTTTTATTCCGATCTACGCAGTATGAACTTAGAGTATCTTGAAGTCTTGCAGTTGTACACCTCAGTAACCCCCCCCCTCCTCGTAAAGTGCTCGAAACGTCGGGAGTATAATGCCCCGGTTACACGCTCCGTATTGCCTGTGAGCAAGCCTGCACAAACCGGTTTGCACAGGTAAGCGCGTGCGTGTGGACGGTAAGACGGTGGCTCGCGCAGGCGACCTGCGTAATCGTTGACGTGCTAAAGATTGGATTGCGCGGGTTTGGTTTGCACGGTATTGCCTGCGAGCTTACTTGAGCGTGTGGCCGGTTATTCAATCCGCGCTTCAGTCCGTCTAAATTCTTGTTGACGACACATGTTATGCTATAAAATCTTAAAAATGAGAAATATACGCAATTATTCCAGGGATTTTTATCTGAATTCGTAGAATTGTACAAATCATTGCCGGCGTTGTGGAAAATTAAAAGTAAGGAATATTCCGACGGGAACAAAAAAAATGAAGCTTATCATTTATTATATATAATTGAAAAACTAACTTTCTTATTTGTTGCTTTTTACAAGTAAACAATAATATAAGGCTCCGTTTAAAAAAAAACCTCTTCTGGCCACATCGTGACGTGACTAGCTCTCAAAACACTTTGAGGTTTGCACTGTCCAGTTTACACAAACTCACCTACACGAGCCATTGTACAGTCATGACTGCACAGGCCTGGACTGTGCAGGCATGACGGAGCGTGTAGCCGGGGCATAAGGCGTACATTACACGCTCATGTAGGCTGTCAGTTTTACAACGATCACGGTTGAGATTGACGAATAACCTACAGTGTAATGCAGTGATTGACGCCAGCGTGAGCGCGTAATGTACGCCTATCAGTCACCATGACAACATCATTTCACCTAAATTACCTCACTGCGGGACCACTACGTCAGAGGTTCGTATCACAAATAAGGGGGTTCTCAAAACCTTGCAGTGTCTAGACATGAATAAAGCTAGTGGATCAGATGGTATACCACTTATAGTACTAAAGGCTTGTGCATCTGAGTTGTCTCCTGTGTTGACACGCTTGTTCCGCCTCTCATTTAGGACTGGAATAGTGCCAAAATCCTGGAAGTTGGTCAATGTGCAGCCTGTTCGAAAAAAGGCAGCCGTGCCGACCCTGCCAATTATCGGCCAATCTAATAATTCATACTCTGCAAGATTATGGAGCGTATATTAAACGCCCGCTTAATGGCATACCTAGAACAGAATAACCTCCTTGGTGACCGGCAATACGATTTTCGCCGAAATTGGTCAGCTGGGGACCTTCTAGCGTATGCCACACACGTATGGGGCGAGGCATTCGACTCTCGAGACACTTGATTGATGCCTGCATGAGCGCGTAATGTACGCCTATCAGTCACCATCCGTTTTTTATCAATCATGATTGATGGAACTGATTGACGGCTGCATGAGCGTGTAATGTACGCCTAAAATAAGTTAATGTAGGCGTTAAAATCCGTAAAAACTAATTTTATTTAAAATGTGTAGTGTTCGCGTAAATATAATAAATCATTATTTCTATTCGTTTGAATACTGATTATGATAACGCACTTAACGGGAACCATACGATTTTGTCACATTTTGTATATACTAGGTGGTAGGAAGTCCTCTAAAATTTGTAATCATTGTTGCTATGACATATTTTAATATATTCATATTAAAATATGTCATTTAATATAGTCATACTGTTTTCGTGGCAGAGCCTAGTTGCAGCTATATTAGGGCTGCAGCACGAATGAATCGGCTCGACCAAGAAGGACATTCTCACAGGCAAAAACAGCAGAATAAGCTATGTTTAATATGACGAGAATTTCATCTAAATCCTCAGGGGTGATAACACATCTTTATTGCGATTCTTAACTGAGGATAGATGTAGATGTGAATAAGCCACAGCATTATTCTATAAAAATCGTTATAAATGTACCTGAAACTTGTAGAACCCAAGGGCCTTTAAATGGTGAATATGCCCAAGCATCACTCACGCTTCTCTCAAGAGCCTCACGAACGTACTTTCCTTGTAATTCGAAAGTTTCTATGCGGTCGTTAAATGGAAGCAATTCAAAAATAGTTCCTTTTGTTATTTCTGAAAAAATTATGACATGATTCATTAGAGGTGTAATAAATATTAGACATGTTATCACAATCATATAAAACATAACGTGTAGTATGAATCTATATAAAAAACAGTAGAGGAGCGAAATACGCCAAAATAATCGATCAGCCGTGATAGCTCAGAGGGTAAACGCTCGCGGATTTTCATATTATGCGAGCTACTAGAGGTTGATCCCGCCAGTGACACTATTAGGTAATTGCATTCATATGTAAACCAAAAGCAAGAAGACCGCACGTCCGCCGGTGAAGTTAAAAATGAAAGTTCGTAGAAACCTGCAAGTCTAAGTAATAAAATATTTTGAGGCCATGAAAAGTTCCATGCTTCATGAGAGGTCAGTATATAATAGAGAGTTGTATGGGATAAATGATATGAATAACACCAAACAGATTTTTTATCGTCCACAAATATAAGATAAAATGTACAGTGGACTCTACAATAATTTTACTTCGATTAAATAATTTTTACACATAAAAATTCATCACCTTAAGCAAAACGATGCAACACTGGACTTTTATGGGTTGATAAAAAACGATGAGTTATGGATTGATAAACAAGAAGGTAAAAAATTGTGTTTGATTTGATGACCATAAATATAACTTCGCGCCTAGTAATTCATTCGCTGCAAATTGTACTTCCTTGACAGAATATAACAGATAGAAATAGATAGACAATAAAAGATTTTATTAATAAATATAGATTATATGTAATTCTTATTGAGTAATTTTTTACTTTTACCACTGGTTCGGAAAAACCTCTGTCCTGAGAAGAACTATAGCCCGTTCACCGTAAGATGTCCCCTGCCTTGGGAAATGGCAGCATTGTCTACGGTGCTGCCAACAATATATGGAGCATTTACCCCACTTGGTGGTTGCTGGCAAAATTATCTAAACTTGAAAACCCCTGATTAATATGTTTTACTTGCTTATTTAAATAAGTTAGTTATAAGACTAGTAAGGTTGTGAATGATAACATAATTTAATTTTTAAATTATTTATTGATTTATTTTTTCTGACAATAATTATGGTCGAAAGGAACAATTCCAGACATACTCGTATCACTGTCACTCTCATAAACGTCGTCATCATTATCTGTCGTATCCGAATCTGTGCTGCTGTCATTTCCTAATTCAATTATGAATTTATCAGTAATATCATCCATACAGCCATCAAGTACATAAAACTTGTCTTCTAAATTTTTTACGTGTTCACACTGCTTTTGCCAATCCTGAGGGGTTATAGATGAAAAAGCTTATTCAATTAACTTCACGATATTCCCAGCTTCTTGGCCGACATTATTGCTGGCTACTCGTCTCTTTAAAAGACTCCACATAAACTCAATCGCATTTAAATCGCAGTGGTAAGGGGGCAACCTAACCACTTTATGGCCATGAGAAAGCAATAATTGGTCAGCCTCATAAATCGGCGCTTCTTTGTGCTCTTTTATAATTTCATAAAGTTCTGCTTTCAGCATTGTTGGTATATAAGACAATCCCTTATTTGTTATCCAATTTTGCATTTGAAGTTTTGAGGAAGTCATAGTAGGTGCTTTATTTACTTGTACGGTATGATAGAGAGCGTTATCCATCACGACTAAGGAGTTCGGAGGCAAATTGGGTATAAGTTTCTCTGAAAGCCATTTTATAAAATTGGTTCTGTTCATGTCGTCATGGTAGTCCCCCGATTTACTCTGTGATTTAAAAATCAATTGAGCAACCCTATTTCTCCACCTGCATTAATAATTATCCACCGCGTTCCAACAGAATCACTCATTAGTACTCCGTCCTCGTCATCTTCTTGCCAACATTTTTTCACTGCATACGATGCGTGAATGTATGTTTCATCTAAGAAAACTATTGGCCGACCATCTGCTCGATTTTGCCTCATAGTAACGATATACTTGCCTCTCCATGCAACTATGTCGTGCCTTTCCATTAAAATTTTCCGTTTCGAACCACACTTTTTATACTGAAATCCAATTTGTTTTAAAATTTTCCACAAAGTCGTTCGACCTCCACCAAAGTTTATGTCATTCTTTAATTCTACAAGTAATTTATTTAAAGTAGGAACAACTTTCCTTACAGTATACATTTCATGGATTTTGTTTCTTATTGCGCATAAATCGAAATCATCAAGATCCACCGTTTTACGTCTTTGACGGTATTTTCCAGGAGACTTGAGTTTTTGAGATGTAGAAGCAGCAGCTTCACCTTCTTTAGATATTTTACTCACGGTTTTCTCCAACATGCCTGAAATAGACACCAAATTTGTATCATTTTATAAAATTAAATGTTTATAAAATACAAATACAGACATTATCATAAAAAAATAAATTAAATTAACTGAGATACGTACTTTTTTATTTTAATTCGTAATGTTAGTAATTTCTTATTATTACCCATACTAAAGGAATTTTGCATGAAGCTGGCATCCCTATTTTACTAACCTGTCATGGCGGCGACGCGAGTTCGCACTTGATTGAGTGGAATTAAAGGGGCTAGGTTTGCCTTTTTCTCTCTCACAAAAGGCACGCACCTTCTACACAACCTCTCTTGCACTGCTTCTAAATGGTTTCGGCATAATTAATTCGGAATATTTTAAATAATAACACAAAAACGAGCGTTATAATCACGAACTGACAACAGATTGACAAGCAATAGTGCCAACATCACAGCAGGGGACATCTTACGGTGAACGGGCTATAGTAAGAAATCCAGCGGGACTTTTTTATATCAAAGTAAATTATACGATAACGTTGTACAAATTATTTACAAAATTTATTTTAGTAACAGCTTGGAAGTGAGCACCTCATTCCCTGAGGGTATTATCAACCATATAGATACACATAGAATACTATTGTTACGAGCTTGAGGTTCGTGACAATAAAAACTGCCGATTGACTCACCAAAATTTACACTTTTATTCCCGAACACCAATTAAAACTTAAAACACTAATAATTAACCACATTGATTAATTTTATTTTGCTCCGAAGCTTCGCTTATCTCGCAAAATTCAATACTGCCCCGATCGCGGCATGCAGCGGGTTTAAATACATTTTTACGCCAAAACATCCAGAATACTCCCGTAGATACGGGCGCCGACCGACCAGACGCAGAAAGTTCGAGTGTGAGTCTTCTAGAAAGCTTAGTTCTTCAATTCGAAACTAGATGGCGCTGTTGGTTAAAAGATTAGTCATGTCATTTTCTGGAAAGCTCTCCTCGCTCTGTTACTCGACACTAGATGGCGCTAGTGCCAGACGTCAACTTAGGCGCGCAACACTGCACTCCTAAGACATGCACGTCCCGAGCATTATCGGCCCCATAATAACGCGCCTGGCGATTTACATGGACGATCTTAGGAGTCCCTCTTGCGCCTTTCTGTATCCTGTAGGTTACATCGTTGATCCTGGTCACAATCCGGTACGAGCCGTCCCATTTAGCTTGAAGCTAGAGATTTACCTTTGCTGCGGACTGGATTGCGCACCCACACTAGTGAACCTTCGTCGAACTCTTTGTTGTTCATTTTGCGGTCATACCGGTTTTTCATCTTTTCAGACATTTGCTGGCCCGATTGTCTGACGTGCTCATAAATGTCATTCATTTTTTTCCGCAAGTCATTTGCATAATCGGTTATACAGTGTGGGGTATCAGGTGGTATCCCGGTGATTAGGTCTACAGGCAGCCGTAATTCTCTTCCAAAGTTTGCGAAAGCTGGTGTCACTGATGTACTTTCGCGAACAGCGCTTCGATATCGACAACAAAAACGGTTGTATGTGCTTGTCCCAATCTCATTGCCGATTGTCTACAACTTTTGCTAGGTACCTCTCCAATGTCTGATTAAATCGTTCTACATTCCATCAGAATGAGGGTGATAAGAAGTCGTTCTTGTTTTTGAGTACCCATAACTCGGCAAGTTTCCTGGAATATTTGAGACTCAAAATTCCTTCCTTGATCGCTGTGAATCTCTAAAGGTACTTACTCCAAAACGACAGAATACTTCATGAACTAGTTTATCTGCAACTGTTGAAGCTTCTTGATTTGGAATGGCGAAGACTTCTGGCCACTTAGTGAAGTAATACATCACAACCATGAAATACTTGTTACCGCTTTCACTCTCCGGAAACGGCCCCACCACGTCAATGGCTATTCTCTCCCATGGTGCACCAACATTGTACAACTTCAATGCACCTCTACTACGAGTCTGAGGTCCCTTTACAGCCGCACAACTTGTACATTTGCGACACCAGTCCTCGACATCGTTCCGACAGTGGACCCAGTAAAACCGTTCTCGGATCTTCAGTAGAGTTCGTTTAACTAGATAACTAGATAACCTCCTGAACAACTATTATGGTACAGCTGTAGAACATTCGATACTCTAGCTTTAGGGACGACCATTTGCAAATGATTGACCATTGCTGTCTCTCCGAACATTTTCCCATTTACGGCACAGAACTCCATCTTGAAGCAGCAAGCTGTCCCATTGTGCCCAATAGCTTTTAGTGGTCAAACTCATCGCTGAGACGTCGCTCCACTTGGGCTTGGGAGCACTGGCCTTCATCTATTCCAGAATCGGCTTGATATCCGGATCTTCCTGCTGTGCATATAGTAAGCTGTCCTTCCACTCGTTGCTCAGGTGATCTGTCCTGAGCATCCTCACGGATACCGCTTCCTTACTCTCTTGCCTAGTACAATGGTTGCAATCTTCAGGACAAGGTTTTCTTGACAATGCATCTGCATTGCCGTGATATTTCCTGCTACGATATTCGATCTCAAAATCGTATTCCTGCAGTAGTTCAATCTACCTCGCAACTTGTCCTTCTGGATTTTTAACTAGCCATTTTAATGCAGCATGGTCAGTTCGTAAGTGAAATTTCCACCCCAGAAGATATTTGCTAAAATGCTGCAACGACTTTATCACAGCTAGCAATTCGCGTCTGTGACACAATAGTTCCTTTCCGGTTTTCACAACGACTTACTGAAGTACGCTATCACAACCTCTCGATCACCGTTCCGTTGAGACAACACACCGCCGAGTCCTGTATCACTTGCGTCTCTGTCAACTATAAATTCTTTGCTTGCATCAGGGTATCCCAAAATAGGTGTTTTGCACAGACGGTCCTTGAGCTCCTGGAATGCGATATTGCAACTTTCATCCCAGCAGAAATGTCGCTTCTCCTCGGTTAGCTTATGCAGAGGTTTGGCTATATCTGCAAAGTTCTTCACAAATCGCCAGTAATAGGAGCACAAACCCAAAAATGCTCTAACCTACGTCTTGTCTTTTGGAACCGGCCAATCCTTGACAGCGGCGATTTTCTCAGGATCCGTGCGGATACCTTCTTCCGATACTACATGCCCCAAAAAGTTAACTTGCCGTTTGAAGAGTGAACATTTCTTCGGACTCAACTTGAGGTTGGCACTTTGAATCTTCATGAGCACGCGTTCCAGGTTTTGAAGGTGTTCCTCAAACGTACGACCTACGATGATAATGTCATCCAAGTAGACCAGCCAGGCATCGCCAATTAGCCCGGTAAGTACAAGTTCCATCAGCCAGTTGCTGGAGCATTGCACAACCTAAACGGCATTACTTTAAATTGCTACAGACCCTTTCCCGTCGAGAACGCAGTTTTTTCCTTGTCCTTAGGGTCAATTTCAACTTGCCAGTAGCCACTTTTTTAGATGCAGCGTGCTAAACCACTTTACTCCTGTAAGCATGTCCAGCGTGTCATCAATTCTTGGCAAGGGATAGCTGTCCTTCTTCGTAACGTCGTTCAGACGGCGGTAGTCAACACAAAACCGCACGCTGCCATCCTTCTTCTTTACCAGCACCACGGGTGAACACCATGGACTAGAGGAAGGTTCAATAACACCATCCTTCACCATTCCTTCAATCATGGTTTCCACTTCCTTTTCACGTGCTACCGGCAATCTTCTTGGCCGCTGACGGATAGGCAATTCTTCTCCTGTGTTTATTTTGTGTTAAACTAAGCCAGTCTTTCCTATGTCAGCATCGTTTGATGAGAATACATCGACATACTTGAGTAACAACTTCTTCGCCTTGACCATTTCGTTCGGGGAGAGAACGCTGCGACAGTCTTCCAAAAGTGTGGTCACTCTCGTTTGTGCATCCTTGCTGGGGGTCTCACTCGATAGATATTGGCACCGACGTAAACCAATCCACTTCCTCACAAGTACCAACCAGCGTGCCTTTTTCTATAATCTGTTCCCGGTCACAAAGGTTCAGCACACGTACTCCTAAGATGTCAGTGGTTCTGACCAAGGTTCGAGCTACTTTCCATGGAAGGCACCAACGGTGAGCTTGCCCAGCGTTTCGAGGAAGACTAACCGGCACAATAGTTTCCGATCTCGGCGGAAGAACAATCTTCTTAATGCTGTACACATTCCCTGGTAACGCACCTTCCATAAAAAGTTCCTCCTGTGCACATTTCAAAACACCTTGCTTAACGTCGATCTCACAACAGTTATTCCTCATAAAGTCAAGGCCCAGGATGCAGTCGTCCATTATATCAGCCACGATGACATTATGCAGGTAGATCACGTTGCCTAGCTTCAACTCCATCTCCTTCTCTCCACGGACGGTTATACACTGACCGGTGGCTGTTACCAAATTAATGCGTTCTTGGTTGTATGCGGAGTCCCCAAGGAACTGACTTATAAGTTGGAAACTAACAACCGCACGAAAGACCCCAGTGTCTATGGTCAGTTTACACGGCATTCCGTTGACCTCGCCCTTGATAATTAGACTGTTCCCATCATGGGTTTCTGAGATCGAGATCCTTGGGGCTCTTTTAACATCAGCCAGCACCCGCCCCGCAGGTCTGGCTTTTACTCGTTTGCCTGCTGCTGCTGGGCGGTGCTGGGCGGCCGCACTACCCTCCTGAGATCGTTCACCTTCCAGAACTGTTAAGGCCTGGTCGCACAGGCCTAGTGTGAGAGCAGTCATGGCCTGACTTTTATTCCAGCCGTTCGCCTTCAAAACAGTCTCGAACTGGATTTTTTAGGCTAACCAGGAAGTTCCGTCGAACGGTGGCACTTTGAACCCACGTAGTTAAGGTGTAGTAGCTACTACGAGAGCTGTAGTTCCATCGCCCAGTTTGAAATCGTCCAGCGTTTTCTTCACGTCAGCCATCACGTAATCAACCCGATTGTTCACTTTGTCGATTTGGGTTTTAGCTTCCTTGATTTGGGTTTCAGCTTCCGACAGGCGGTTGTCATGTTGAGCAACCCTATTTTTCACCTCCCTTATCTCTTTCCCGAAGTTAGCATGAATGTCCTTCACGAGGAGCATCTGCTCTTCCTGTCAGCGGGCCTGTTCCTCCTGCTGCTCTTTCAACCAACGGGCCTGTTCCTCCTGTCGGCGGGCCTGTTCCTCCTGACGGCGGGTCTGTTCCTGCAGCATCACCATCAGAGCACCTAAGTCAGGTGCTGCGGTGTAGGAGCTGCTGACGGGCCAGCCTCCGTGGCTAGCACTTGGCCCTCTGACGTCTGCGGCGTTGCACTACCAAATCGTCTCTGGTCCGTCTCCTGCTGGCGTTGACTTCAGGTACGGACACCCTCCATCTCGTCCTTAGGTAAAATCGGCATGATTTTATCCCACTTCTGACACCCATTGTTACGAGCTTGAGGTTCGTGACAATAAAAACTGCCGATTGAATTACCAAAATTTACACTGTAATTCACTTTACACTAATTAAAACTTAAAACACTAATAATTAACAACACTGATTCACTTTATTAGGCTCCGAAGCTTCGCTTGTCTCGCCAAATTCAATACTGCCCCGATCGCGTCTTGCAGCGCCTTTAAATACACTTTTTACATCGAAACATCCAGAATATTCCGGTAGATACGGGCGCCGACCGACCAGACGCAGAAAGTTCGAGTGAAAGCTTAATTCTTCTGTTCGATACTAGATGGCGCTGTTGGTCGAAAGACAAGATCTACATTTTCTGGGAAGCCCTCCTCGCTCTGATCCCCGACACTAGATGGCGCTAGCGCCAGGTACCTGACGTCAACTTAGGCGCGCAACACTATAATATATACATAATAGAACGGGAGAGTGGGCGGAGCCCGCGTAGCCACTAAAATGTCACTAACACGTCAATTCACACGTATAAATGTCAACACGAGATGTGTTTTGACATTCGACAATCGTCGACAATCGTTTCAAAATCGCATGCAAATTATTTAGAAAATGCCAAATTACACCCTATTTACAAATAAATATGTATTAAAATTTAAACGATATTTTTAATGATGATCTCGAACATTAATCAAAAGTCTAAAATGTGTAAATTTATTGAGTCTGTCAACACAGCAAATCGGGTTTGGCGACGCCAAGCCTCGTACAAAATAAAGTTGCCTGCCATTCTATTGTGTATTATAGTATTCTATGTAGATACATATGAGACATTGTTGATACACTCATAAGATACATATTATGTTACATAATAAGACAAAAGGATGATTATGTGCTTATGTACTAAGTATTATCAACCATTACCGTTACCTTTACAGCCTATTAAAGTCCACTGCTGAACATAGGGCTCCCCCATAGAACGTTCTTTTTTAAATCTTTACTAGGAAGACGCTGCTTCCCATCTCCTGATTTGTTTCCCTCTGTCACATCTTACGAAATCCACTGGATGATATGGGGTAGTGGAGTAATCTTACACGGTAACGTTAACGGTACGGTATCTAGTATCAACATTGCTATGGAAATATAAAACTGTGTTTTTAGCGTAACATATCGCGGGAATAAAATGTTAATAGCTTTAAATATAATAAAATTGAATAAATCACATTTTAAAGGGCTTTTAAATGAGATCCATCTGGCTTGCGGGATAAAAAAAAACATTGTAATACTAACGTCCACTGGGTATTGATGATTTTATGTTGCCGCGTTGTATGAATGCCAAATGACTATTTTCTGTTGTCACTTTTGCTTTTGCCTGAAAAAAAAACTACAGTGAGAAGGAAGAAGGTATTATTGTTAAATATAATTTTAACTTTAATGAACCAAGTATAGGATCAAAATGCAGACTTAATATAAAAGCTTTCTCTGCCGTCAACCTTAGAGCAGTGGTAACACTACAAAGGCTGATACAAAAAACAAATACACATATTTCATACTCATGTTATACATTATACACTATATATATATATATATATATATATATATATATATATATAATATATTATTTTATTTTATTTCCCATTTTTATCGTTTGAATCATAATACAGTTTAATTTTACACCGGAAACACACAACATGCTAAACTTTAATAATTAACATGAAAAAGTTTCAGTGTACCAGACAATCAGATACCGTTTGTCGAGTGCGTAATACCAAAAACAAAACTATAGTTAAGGTTACTTATTATTTACTATTCTATTATAATAAATAAATAATACTTACATAATCATTAAACACATCAACTAATAAATCGCCGAGTGCGCATTCGCCGAATACGCAATCTTCAAACCGTAGTGTTGTAACTGACTGTCCTACTGGTACGTTTTCAGCTTTATGAACAATTTTTGCGTATGGTGCTAGCTTTTGCTTAATTTTAGGATCTGAAACGTTTTAACAAGAATATTAATTATATAATATATATTCATAACAGGCTATGATTAAAATTTAAAATTATTTAAAAAATTATTTGTATACTTAGTTTATAACTTAAAACCATAGAGTATAAATAAGCAAGCTACTAAATACTCTAAACTTAAAACTATTATCGGATGTTGCTATTGTGTATAATAACAAGCTGTAACACCCGATTTTATCCAGGGGTTGAATCTTCCAACTTTTTCTTAGTGAGTGTCTACGCCGAGAAACAATCCTGCGTATAATTTTGGAGATCTCGTGACATTAGCTGGTAAATGTCAGGATTTATAGAAAATGCGACGATTTTTCGGGCCTATACCGTTAGAGTTTGGTACATCCTAGGTTTAACCAATGACTATCACTATGTGTTGGTTTTGGAAATGAAACAATATTAACCTATTTCAACCCGAAGGCGTGCGTTCTGGTCTGAAGGATATAGGGAACACGTATAATTACTGGTTATGCGGCATAACATCTTAGTCTTTAGAAGTAACGACGCAGCTGTAGCCTCCTTTGTTTAAATTTAGAAGTCCATAGATACTTACCATCAGGTGGACTATAAGCTAATTTTCACTTTAGTTTTATAAAAAAGATGTAAAGAAAGGCTTTGGTAAAGGTCAGAAAAAAGTCTTTTCGGCCTTTACCAAAGCCATATAAGTAATACGATCAATGTTTGGTCGGAATAAGTTAGATGACGTATATAAGATAATATCGTTTTTAATGATTTCTTATATTTACGCGAATGCATGTTTAATTTGAACTTTATAAAAAGCCTTTAAAAATCAGTCATGGTTACGGGGGAATAAGGTTTTAATGTCCTGATGTTATTAAATTTTCTATCAAAAAATTTTGGGCAGCCCAGTGTCAGCAGTTGCGAAGCCTCCATAAAAGCCGAGAAGCCGGGCTTGTCCAATCAAACTGCTCAATCAATAATATCAACTAATAAAATAACTCGTAAACTTTTTCAAACTATTTCAAATTAACCGCGCGCTCCTCTGTTCTACACAGGTCATGACTTCGTAGCCTTGGCGATACTGCTGTCATAAAAAAAGGAGTTGAATTGAGCGATTAGTCGTCTCTCTAGCACGCGTGGGCTTTTTACCGGACTTTCGAGAAGACAATCGCTCCCTTTCTAACCTGTGGCAAAATGTTCTATAGTGAAATATAGCTACGATTATTTATATAGCAATTAGTATAGAGCAAAAAGCCAGGCTTTCGGTGAGAAGTAAGTCGAGTGCGGGGGCATTTGGAAGTTCACTACACATTTCAATGTTTACTCTGTTTGTTTACTTGAGTGAATGAATATTGCGAGTTGAAAATGTATGCTTTTTACAGATTTTTTGTGAAAATGGAGGATAATAGTGTTCCTTGTGATGAATTTAAATGTATTTAAGTGCTAATCGTCAAATAAAAGGTAAAATCTTTAAACTTTGTTGATATTTTCTCAACAAGGTCAAGAGCGTCTTTCAGACTTATCAATTATCACAAACTTTTAATTATACCAATAAATAAAAAACAGTTATTGGTATAATTAAAACGTTCATCAACATTTTACGCGGACGTAATCAAATCTTTTTTTTTTAAGAAAGAGAGAGGATTCGATTTAGAATATAAATATTTTTTTTAATTTTGTACATAGTTTGTTTGTACTTTGTTCATGCTTTTATTTTGTTCATGTAATGTGTTGTATGGAAATATCTTTTTCTTTCGCTCAAGTAACCCAAACGGCTTTTTTCAAAGCCATCGAAGGTATGCAATTGCTGATATGTCATACAATCTATCTAGCAGTAGTATGCCATCTGTGTGCTTTGTTAAACACGTCCTCGACAGCGCTGCATATGAAACTGAAAGGCGGAGACAGATCAAGATTGGTGTATTTTTATAACACTGCCAAAAGCAACAATCTATATCTTTGTCAATTTTTATCTTGATCTTGCCCTCGTTCGGAGCCCTAGCTTCGCCACTGGGTGTTATTCCACTCTCGTGATAAAAAAATTTGATCTGGAGGACATTATTATAGGTCTAGCATTTATTTGCTATCTTCCACAGAATAAAATAAATAATTTTATTCTGTGTAAGATTTCCTAAACATCGCTATCGATATACTTAAATATTTTCTATAATTTGTATGATTCATTTTGTAATCATCGATATAAACGACAGTATAATAAGTCTATGTTTATAATGGTTGTTTTAGTTAATTTATTTATACACGCTGTTATCGAATAATGCTTAATGAACTGCTAAATTCTTTGATAAATTAGGTATTATAGTTGAAAGGTTATCATAATTATATATCGGTCACGTCCTTAGTTTATTTATTTGAAAAGACGTGGATACATAAACTCCACTAAAGGACAACTTACATATTTCTTACAACATCATTTAAATGATGCCACAAAATAAAGTGTATATGTGTTTTGATATAACAAATAGGGCGCTGGCAGAATAACATCGTTGTGGGCAACTGCAACATTTATGCTGAGCTAGAGCCTATTCATTACTACAATATGTAATTATGGTTATTTCTGTGTGTACTGCTTATTGTAATTTTATTGGTGGTAATGAATAAATGTTTTATTATTATATTATTATAATAATTAAATAAAATAACTATAATCGGTGCTATACCCTCTCGTCTGTCCAAACGCCATATTCTGGAGTCGAGTGACAGCAAACTATTTGTAACATATATATATGATATATATATATATATATATATAATACATATATATATATATACATATATATCATATATATATATACCTCCTTATCCAACTTTCTCGACCTTGTTGTAAACGAAAAATTTATGATTTTTTTTGTTTTTTTTTTTATAATTAAATATGCTTTGGACGTACAAGTAAAACAAATACTACTTGGAATAAAGGCTTTAATTTATAATTATTACACCTTTGCAGAAAATTGGGGAAAAAATAATTTTCTTACTTTCATTTTCAAATTAGTATCACTTTCGAAGTAAACCTGTATTCAAGTTATACATAATCTGATAGCTTATTTAATAAAGTTTCCATTGATATATGATTTTAATATACCTTTTATACAAAATGTCTTGTAAATAGTCATTTTAATGAACAGCAGGAAGTAGTCTGGAAGTACTTCGGGAAGTGCTAGACAGATGCGCCATATTGGCCAAAATGACCCCGACATACGAGGGGATACAAGTATAATATACTACATTCAATTTATTTTAAGCGCTAAACTGTTAAATTCCTACGTTCTATTTATTTATTTATTACACAAAAAATAGCTCAGGGCGTCTACCAATCAACCAATAAATAAACATAGAACAATATTTCGGAGGTAATATTAAATTATAAAAGAAAGTACTAAAGATCAAAGACACTTTATATTTTTACTTTATAATAATTTTACTTTATTTAAAAAAGTGAGTGGAAGGAGCAGGTATTCCCATGTGCGCTTACCATAAATGTTTTTGTAAGTTGAAAGCTTAAACGTAGGTTGGCTGTTTCTGGTCTACTATATTTTTTAAATTTACTCAACTGTTCCCACTCTTCACATAAAACTACCAATTTAATTTCTTCATATATATTTAACGTTCCACAATATCTAAACAAGTTTGTTTAGGAACTATTGCTTTTAAGATTTTTATTTTTATTATATAAATTTCTTCTATACAAGTATCAAAGGTTCTGCCATAGCTACTTAGTCCACAATTTATTATTGAATTTGCTAAGCAATTTTATACTAAAGTATTGTTATATTGCAAAGTATTGCTCTTAGTTTGTTACAAATGTGAATAACGTGGTCTCCAGTTGAGTTTACTATCTATTATTAGCCCTAAATACATATGCTACATTTTATCTGATTACAGAACTTCAAAAAAGGAGGGTTAAGTATTTTTCTTCCTTTAGATGTTAATTTCTATTTTACATAATTAATATATTTTTAAATAAATAAAATATAAGTAAATCTTAAAATTAGTTTTCACCGTTGCGTTATATATTTAACTACGCCAAAAATCGACATTTCACTTTTTCAAATCAGTGCCATATAACATAAAATACAAAAAGTAGTGACATTTTTCCTCTAGCTACTAATAAATAAATTAATATAAATAATGGTTTCTTATATTGACGTGAACACTAGACATTTAAATAAAACCAGTTTTTACGGATTTTATCTCGTATATTAAGTTATTTTATTTGATGATTTAGACCATGGGTGCTGTAAAGGGTTTCCAGCACTTTACAACACTAACCTAACAACAATTGCAAAACTTCAAGATACTATAAGTTCATACTGCGTAGATTGGAACCAAAGTTTGCGGTTAGATAGCTCAAAGAAAAACGCCTAAAAGGCGACATGATGATTGGTAACAATATCAAATCATAAACCATCTCATCATCATTTTCACCTCAATGCCTTTCCCATTTTAATTAGCCCTGAGACAAGATGAAGCTGTAAGAGTCGCATAGACTAACAGCACTAACATCTAGATAATAGAGAGTGGAACCAAAGTTAGCTATGACATTGGAACTTCGAACACCTCAGTCCCCCTGTGACCATGGGTGCTGTAAAGTGCTCGAAACGTAAAGAATATAAAATAAGTTAATTTACGCGATAAAACTTACACTTATATGTTTAAATAAATAATAAATAAAAATTAAAATACACAATAACGATACGAAAATTCTAACGCTCATTTTTTAGTACTTTGGTAATTTCATTTTAATGGAAATAAATAAATTTTATAGTAACTATTTACTGATTCAATAGATAATCATGACATCCCTCGAAAATCATAAAACTGTGGATGTTTCTAAGTTTGACTTATATTTGCACAAAAGCACCATCTGTCGATGACATTGGTTAACTATTGTACTTTAGATACTAAGGTTAATTCTATTTTAATTTAGGTTATTCTTTCTTATTTTTGTTTACTGCGTTTCAGATATAATTATATGGTTATGGAAATATTATCTTCTATCATTCAATTATGATTTATGATATTAGATTACAAATTCGTACTTATACTTCGTCCCCATACTTTAGAATATTAATCATAACTTTTGATAGAATGACCCGATTTTATTAAAACAAAGAATAACTATAACACGAAGATACGCTTTATAATTTCCTTATCGATTTTTTGATACAAATTAGTACATTATACGTGATACGTTAAAAAACAAACAGACAGACCGATAGACAATTCTAAAAATATTAGAAATATATTTATGCCATCAAAAACATAGCTTGTGAAAAAAACCAAGTCCCGCAACTCAGTTCTTCTACCGTAAAAAATTGTGAGATCCATGTAATATCAAGTCGGTTAATTTATTCAGTCCCTACTTAAGGGTCCTTCTGTTTTAAGTTATTACGGTATTAGCTGACCTAACAACATTTTATAGTGACCATATCAATGTTAAAAATCTTTTATGTTTCAAATAAATAGATTGACTTGGCCATCGCATGAAAACAAAATGTATCACACAAGTATGCCTCCAGATTTACTTACTTTTAGTCTCCCCCCCCCAATCACTTTTATTACAAAGATATAAAATTTACAGACATCTGCAGTTTGCATTTTTATTATATGTACGAATAGATAGATGTATAGACGAGTAGAACTCATACATGTATACAGAGGTCAGTGGTAAGGACTTCAAGATTCTATCAACACAGCCCGTATTGATAGAATCTTGAAAGTCATCTGTCAAAGCCAGTAATCTAACCGATTCAAACGTAAATTTTGTAGTACGTAATCAACCCAAACTCGATCCGTGCCGACTCCACTCAAATTTTCAATTTACCATGTAGTCTGTAGTGACGGAAAACATCGGGAAGACGGTCATCTCGTATTGGAGTCAACTCAGTCAACTCCTTTTTGTCCTAAAACTCGCTGTGGCCTGTGCTCAGTGGTTGGATGCATCTAGTTTTTTTTTATTAACTGGCTTTACGGTTCTAGGTTCTAGCTCTTCTGAGCCTGGATGTATCTAGGCTGCTTTTCACTTTTAATAAGCGACTCCCCACTATATTCACGTGGCTGGTGGAAGCACTTACTACTTTGCATTGTTATCAGGAAGATGCTGTCACCCATCTCCTGTTTCAGTTTCCCTCTGTCGCCTCTTACGACAATCACTAGATGAAATGGAGAAGTGGTTTTTTTTTACTAATATATTCAATTGCATTTCCCCATAGATTAACAAATAAGTTGGATATTTGCCATAGTTGCCACGCTTGACATGCAAGTTGCCAACTGCATATTTTTATTATTTTTAACTACGATCAGAAAGACGGTGCTGAAGACATGCCCGATATAAAAAGGTGTTGCTAGACGTATGATATTAATACAATTCTGATAAACTCACTTATATGTTTCTGTAGCATATTATATTGCCAAATTTCAATCATCTCCTACGTCCAATACATATACCGCGGTGTTTCTACAAATGATCCAGTTTTGCTTATTTTAGCATGAAATAGTATTTTTGATGTTTTTAAATTCAAGCCACGCGACCTAAACCGCGGGTAACAAGATAGTTTTAAATAAAAATTAAATTTTGCAAAAGGAAAGTGCTATTCGCAATATTAATGTTTTCATTCTCAAATTAAGGTAAAAATGAGGCTGTAGAGTATCCCACTGTCTTACAATAGTAGTTAAATGACAAACCTTTATGGTCTTAAAAGGTTTTTGTTTATCTTACCTTCAGGAATCGACCGGTTTAGGAAGATTGGTCCACCCTCCCATTTGACATAACGACCTAGGTAATCGAAGTACACGGTCAGATTGCCCATGTACTTCGTGAACGCTGACGCTTGCACTATCACCACCTAAATATAAAAAATACATATAAACCTGTGAAACTGGTAGTGCGATCTTCAAAATATCCACCAAGTGTAGCTCTTATGGCAAAATCTAGTAATTAATATAATAATAAAAAAGATAATATTCTACTGCTTTATTAATTTTCATTTTACGCCCATCACAAGTCCACTGCTGAACAAAGGCCTCATCCAAAAACTGCCACAAAACACGGTCCTCTCAAAATATTTCACCTACATTCAACAACTTTTATACGTGAAAGAGCCATGCTACCTTATGGTTGTAGCACGAGTCGGCTCGACCAGGGAAGGACAACGCTCTTAGAGAATACCAGCGTGAGTGTAGAGAACTAAAGACTCTTTTTAGTGGATACGAGGCATTCCATCGATTAAATCGAGTAAGAGAGCACCTCAAAAATTAAATTTTTGTAAAATTTAATTTTTGAGGTGCTCATAATCTACCGAGCCGAATTGCTTCAAATACACATGAAATCTAATGGCAATAGAATTCTTTCAAATGCCGTAAACCAACATCAGCGAAAAAGGCGTGACGATTGTGGCAATCATCTCTGCATCGGGAGAGGCCCATGTTCCACTGAATAGCCCGAAAAGACTGATAGAGAATATTATTTACGGGCTGATAGAGAATAACATAATAAAGATGCAAATCACCTTGTGTTCCTTATCGTCGCTGGTTTCAATAAAAACGGGGTACGGCCCGGCGACTTCCTCCCCACTAGGGGAATCACCATTCCATAACAGAGAATGTGAGTGACCTCCAACTATGATGTCGATGTGCTTGCCGTGTTTTCGCGCTATCTGTCTGTGAATAAATTTAAGAATAAATGAGGAAAGAGCAACAAAGCAAATTTTGTCGGCAAGTTATATCACAAATTTGCGATGTCTCAATGATGAATCAATGTATTTAGCATTTAGTATGTAAATTAACTTTATTAATAACCCATAACTGTTATATCCCAGTGGATCAGTCTGCTAAAGTGACAATAGGCCGACCATATAGCTCGAAGGATCGACAACCAATAAATAAGAAAGGTTCTTGAGTGGCAGCCTCATACCGATAAGCAAAGTGTAGAACGTCCCCCACTAGATAGACTGATAACAAAACATACAGGAAGTCTATGGATGCAGGTGACTCTGGATCGTGTTGTGTAGTATTCCGTGACAGCGAGGGAGGCAATGTACTATGGACAGACAATAATTGATGTGAGGAAAGATTTAGGTAATATGGCAAAAACTGAAACTAAATTTGACAGTTCCGCTATTTTGACTTAATAGTTTTCGTTGGTGAGAAGAGTTTGTGTAAGGTCATGTGGTTGTTTTTTTCTTAAATTGTTTTGGGTGAAATATGAGTAATAGTAGAACGCAAAGTATGGAAACGTGCAGCTCGTTAATTAATCCTTAAAGCAAAAGAATTTTGTGGATCGTAAAAGAAAAAAAAAGAGCTATTAATCCCGCTCAATAAAGTGTAGATGAGAGTCGATGCCATGACAGGTAATATTTGGAGTTGCCCGAGCAGCTATATTTTACCTTATTTAACGGGAACCGTTGGGACGTTGTTGTATATATAACCGTTATGGTATAAAATATTTAACATATGTCAGATGGAAGATATTTTATATATTTATTAATTTAGATTAGTATTTTTATTAGTAAAAAAACAAGCCTGAAAAAAAAATAAGTGGTATTTTTAGGTGTTTCGTTGAAAACACTTCAACATCAGTAACAAGTTCTTCAAAAAAAAAATTGATACTCCCGGAAAAGCCAGCCGCAGTCAAAAAAAATTGTTTTGAATAATTTTGACCTATGTGTTATTGGTCAAAAAAATCATTTTTTACACGAAAACGGGTTTGTGTCCAACGAGTTGTTGATTTTCAGTTCCTAATCGAAATCGGCAGATTATCATGACGATGTGAATGCAGCAAATTTTTCAAAGTGGATGACTGAAAAGGTAATAACCAATTTACCTGAAAAATCTTTAGTTGTAATAGACAACACACTTACTACTGCACACAGATTGACAAATTTCTCAAAATCTCAGTTGCAAGAGTGGTTGAGAGAGAATATATTTACTTTGAAGAAAGCTGGACTAAACTAGTTTTAAATGATTTAAAACATATAGAGAGCAATATTTCAAAAATGATATGGAAATGGTGAGATTTATTATATCCACAGAAAGCGACAGCGACACCGAATCCGACTACGATAGTGATTTTATATAAATGAGCAATAGTGACTGTGATATGTCTGAAGTAAAACCTCCACTTCAAGACAAACATAACTATTGCAAAAAATATGGTCAAGTGTTACTTAGATATAGACGATATAGATATAGTCTAGATGTATACTGACCAAACTAGCAATCCCTGACCTAAAACGAAACGCCTCCTAAATTTAAATCCACTCCTGAATGTGTTTAGTAACTAACGCCTTGACCGGTCACGGGGCTTTCAATAAACACCAGGAAAACCAAACTTTGGAATAATAGACAACCTCCTATACAGAGTATGTACGAAGGTCGAGGAAAATGACGCGCACGTAGTCCTAGAATGAGTACTAGTGGGCATTAGACTTAAAACACTTGGTACAGTACCGCTACTTCAGTCCCCTCGTGACCACAATCGTCGAAGTAAATATTAAAAATAATTTTACCCATACGCAAACTTGACCCGATTTTTAATAATGAATTCAAATCGTGTGAGTTTAAGAAGTACGAAGAATTATTCATTTACCTAGGTAATATAATAAAATATTAAACAAAATGGAATTACCAATACAAACATTTACTAATAAAAACAAAACCATGCAAACTTTCACATTTACAACTCTTTTTTACATAGAGACAGCTAATATTTATCTACCATAGAACATTTATTATTTAAAATCTTATCATTTCACTGGTAACATTTAGCTATATCTATGATAGTAGTGCCGCGTGTATTACACTTCAGTGGTGGCATGAACCTTAACCTCATTTTACAGCTCCTAATTTTATAACATCTACGTGAAACGCTCTCCAATTAAAACCTAACTACTGTGTGTAAAATCTCTGTTACAGAAAATAAATAGCCCAGTTTTCCCATTTGTGTACTGTTTTGCCGAACTATACAAGAAAAACTAAAAAGTGACATTAATAACATCCCATAAAGATTCTGCGGTTGGTAGGCCTCCACCAATTATCGAAAGTGGGAGCGAGAAAAAGGTTTAATTTTTTTTTTTATAAAACCAAGTATTAAATGCTTGGACTTTGCAACTGGCCTGCCGTAAATGACGCATTTTTTGAAAGCACACTGGGCAGTTTGTTTTTGAGATTTTTGTGCGGATCAATTACATAGATTTTCGGCATTCCGTCCATGAGCATAGTTTTGTCTCCAAGTCACTAGTGTGCACCGTGTGCAGATTATCACTTAGTGAAAAGTGTTGGTATATTCCCCAAAGACGCATACAATTTATAAAATCTTAAAGAGGATGTATGACGATCCCGAAATGAAACAAGATGACAGATTCTCTGTCGTTGATTTCAATTTAAACGACTTTTATATACTTGCATACACAAAGAAACATGGGCCACCGGTGGTCGGAGGGGTGTAACCATAAGCAGGCGTTCCCCTCTATCAATCTATAAGTCCACGCGGTCTTATGCGCACAATAAAATAGTTGCAGCCGCATTGCTTACTAGACTAAATCTAATTGCGTAGCTGAATCGTCCTACAAAAATGACGAATTTTTCAACTTTTTGCTGCAAAAAGAGATCTGCCTCGTCAAATTTAAAAAAAAGATGTTGTAAACTTTTAAAAAATTATTAAATTAATCACGTTGTTGCTTTAACATCTTTTTTAATTTTAAAATTACAATAATAACGGTCGTGTTGTTTCGATTTTTTTTACGAAAACAGGCTGTTCAGCCTCATACAAAATGCAGTCAACGCGACACCGAGTGATGATACTGTCACAATCATAGAATACTATAATTACATACATTATAGAACGCGGGAGTGGTCGGAGCCCGTGTAGCCACTAAAATGTCACTAATACATCAGATCACACGTATACAAATTTCGCATGCAAATTATTTAGAAAATGCCAAATTGCACGCTATTTACAAATAAATATGTATTAAAATCTGTCTATCAACACAGCGAATCGGGTTTTTAGTAGTAATAATACGACGTAATTGCTTGTATGTGTGCTCCCGGCGACGCCGCATCTCGTACAAAATAAGGTTGACAGCCATTCTATTGTGTATTATAGTATTCTATGGTCATAACGTATCTCTGTGTGTTTATGTGAAATTGTTAGTTTATTGTTTTAATTGTTATGTTTGAGTTTCGTAGTGACAGTCGATTATTTTTGTAAGCGCAGTTTCCCCAGCAAAAAATGACAGACAATTCTACTCCTCTCCGGTCCGCCAGATGCCCGTATAGCTCTATGCGTGGATACGAAGAAAAGAAGTCCCTAAATTTGCCAAATATTTTAGTACAGATTAATATGTTCATTGTCTGCTATTCATCATAAGCAATAGGAAACTAACAAAATAAGAAGATCAAACAAAAGATTACTTTCTTCAAGATAAATGGCGCTTTGGTTAAATAACATTTATCTTGATAATTTGATAATCTTATCAATAGACTGCTAGACTAGAAAATGATACGACTGTCGTAAGAGTAAATTGTTTCATATCATCACGTATATAGAAGTAAGATAAACAGAAGAAATTTGATAAGATATCAAATTTACAAATATAAATACGAGTCATGCAATACCGTTAATAGATAATTGAAATTTTAGAATTTACTAGAAATGGGTTGAGGACAGCAAAGAATACAAAATTTTAATGCAGTTGTTTTCAACAAAAAAATTAACCTCCTGTCACTTTTGTAAAGCTGCGATTACCTTTTTTAAACAAAGATTTAAATAGTTAGATGCGCCTTCATCTTGAAAACTGTAGCATTATTTTTGGATGTGTTCGTTTGTAAGACGCTGACGCGCGCACACTAATGCAATAGTGTCATCTCTTATTATCTTACAGAAATTGTGTGTACTACTTTTAACTCTATGTCTCAGTGAAATATTACAGCGATTAAATCTGGTACTGTATCTGGATTGACGAGAAGTAAAGATGCGATTACCGAGACATTTGAATCTTAAAAGTGATAATGCGTCTGAAAAGAACCTGTGTTAGTCAATGATGACTAACTCCGTGCTGATTTAATAAGAATAATTGGAAGATATCGAATACAAAGAAGATAATAGCCCTGCAATTGTACGTGCAAATAGAGGCTCATTCATTTTGACCTACCCGTGCCCGTTGTAAGGCTAATGCTATAAGAGATAGAAGATAAGATCTGCGGTAGGGCAAGATTATGTGACCATTACGTCGTATGAGAGTCGCGGAGACAGTTCTAACTTTACTAAACCTAAAAACGTAGAATTTATAATTTTGCAGAACATCACGTTCACGTAGTCTTTGTTTTAAATTAAACCATTTTTCTCGGATACTATCGCTTCCAATACACCAAAACTTTTACTACCTCAATAAATTAAGTAAATACGATAAAACCGTAAAACATTAGTTTTATTACTTCTATACTATTCGTATATGTAAACATAACAAATCAGTATATTTTTAGAATAAAGATAGTTAAAGCCGTGATAAAATAAAAATTAATTAAGGATATAGCTTTAAACCGTAATATACTTAGTAATAAGACAGCGGTTCCTTACTGTCTTACTAGGAATATAAATAATATGATGTGAGTACGATATAGTAATATAACTATCTTGCTAGACTTATTTTAGGGAAATGAGTTAAATGAGTTTTGACAGTAACTTAAAGTTATAATTAAGTTTAAGCTACAATCAAAACTCGTAACCGGTCAAGACCACTACTGACAACCAAAATCAGGCAAAATAGTTTTGACTAAGTACGTTGATCAATACCACTTTTAACTACTTTTGACTAATACTTTTTGAATTAATTCCAATATTATATTTTATGTCATCACTTACATTTCAAGCTAAATATACGACACAGTCTTAGTGAACACTATAGTAAACAGTAGGTACTTGAACTTACTTGTCAATTTCAAGCCCACAGTGTGAAAGAACAATTATGATATCGACTCCCTTTTCAGTCAAAGCTTCAGCTTCGCGTTCTGTCGCCTCCATTGGATCGGTGAACACGACGTTACCTGGCGACGATAATGTCTGAAAACACACGATTTTCTTTTATTTCTACCTTTCATTAGAGTTTCCACTTAAGGTCATCTGATAGCACGTAACACAACATGAAATCTACTGTAAATATAACATAACAGTACACCTTCTACTGTTATGTTTTTACAAAAGAGAATTAAAAAGGAAATTTAAGTATGTAATCTGTATTTTAGAAGTAAGTTAAGTACCAAAAGGCTCAGAAGGGCTAGAACCCAGTGCCGTAAAGCCAGTTAAAAAAATTAAGTACCAAATAATCGTTTCCCTTCCACCATTTGACAACCAGACGCTCAGTGAGTCTCTACCCCTTTACTGTCGACATACTACGCATTCGAATTAAACGGTTTGCTTAGTCGTTCATAATCCGCACTTCAAAGTACTAGTGGAATAATTTGCCAGCAACTGTCTTTCCATTCGATTACAATGTGGTGAGAGCCGTGGTAGCTCAGATGGTTAACGCTCGCTGTAAATATAAAAGAATGCGAGTAACCCGGGTTCGATCCCCGCCGGCACCAATGAAATTGTTAATTGCAATTTTAAGTGCTGATTTACCACGTGCTCGGCGGTGAATGAAAACATCGTGAGCAAACCTGCATGTCTGAGGAATAAGAAAAAAAATATTTCGAAGACATGTGAAGTTCGTCAACACGAATTGGAGCAGCGCGGCGGACGCTGCCTTGCCTTAAAACCCTCTCAGAAAAGAGGGGAGGCCTGTGCCCAGCAGTGGGGCGTATATAGGCTGTAACTTTACTTTACTTTACTTTACAATGTGGATATCTTCAAGGCAAGAGTGAATAAACTTTTGTTAAGCTAAATCAGTAAGTACGCTTAACTATAACTCAGCAACCTCTGTTGAGTATCAAGCTCCCCTTGTGCTGGTGGAATTTTTAACTTCCATAAATACAATATGTAGACTGTATAGATAATTTAATAGGTACTAGTACAAGAGTAACCGTTTTGCGTGCGTTCGCGACCGCGTGGTTCCAAGCAAGTGGCGTGCGCTGTGGCACTGCGCTGTGTCCATGAAGGTGGTGAGGCTGCACTCGCAGAATTTACTATTAAGTGGAATAATAGTCCAGCACTCACATTAAAATGTTAAAATTATTATATGCTAACTTATAAATAGTAAACGTCTAACTAAACTAAATTTCATCAAAATTTGTACCTACTTTAGTATCCGTAGTGATCAATCCAATGATGCCGATCTTTCTACCGTCACAATTCACAATAACATGGGGCTTAAATAGTCCCTGTAGTGACGGTTCCTTGCTGGCGTCCATGTTAGCGGCTACAACTGGTGCTTTGAGAGCCGCGAAATAATGTGCCAGTCCTTTAGGGCCGTCGTCAAATTCGTGATTGCCAACTGCCTGTTTAAAAAATGCTATAAAATTATCTCAAACGAATTAGTTTACAGAAAGTTTAACGATTATAATAAATAGATATGCAAGGAAAATTCGAGATTAGCTTATAACAATAAACATACGATAAAAATACCGTGTGGTGGGGATTAACAGAGTCCATCATTCCATTTTATTCTACGGATGTCATAAGAGACATTTACTAGAAATGTCACAAAATCGATTGGCTTCCGACAGAAATGTCGATGTAATCATCTCGCTTACGATAGAGTTGAATAACCCAGCGACGGACAGCTGCGTCAAAGGTCCTAGACATCTGTTATCATGATCATCGGTCGTGACGATTTAGGCAAATGCAAATACAATAAGACCGGCCAATGTTCATCAGTCGACTTTTACGAGCTGTTCAAGACGAAAATTAATAAAGAACCATATACGTTCTCCTTTTTAAATAGATATCAGAAAATAATAAAGAACCATATACGTTCTCCTTTTGAAATAGATATCAGAAAATAATAAAGAACCATATACGTTCTCCTTTTGATATAGATATCAGAAAATAATAAAGAACCATATACGTTCTCCTTTTGAATTAGATATCAGAAAATAATAAAGAACCATATACGTTCTCCTTTTGAAATAGATATCAGAAAATAATAAAGAACAATATACGTTCTCCTTTTGAAATAGATATCAGAAAATAATAAAGAACCATATACGTTCTCCTTTTGATATAGATATCAGAAAATAATAAAGAACCATATACGTTCTCCTTTTGAAATAGATATCAGAAAATAATAAAGAACCATATACGTTCTCCTTTTGAAATAGATATCAGAAAATAATAAAGAACCATATACGTTCTCCTTTTGAAATAGATATCAGAAAATAATAAAGAACCATATACGTTCTCCTTTTGATATAGATATCAGAAAATAATAAAGAACCATATACGTTCTCCTTTTGAAATAGATATCAGAAAATAATAAAGAACCATATACGTTCTCCTTTTGAAATAGATATCAGAAAATAATAAAGAACCATATACGTTCTCCTTTTGAAATAGATATCAGAAAATAATAAAGAACCATATACGTTCTCCTTTTGAAATAGATATCAGAAAATAATAAAGAACCATATACGTTCTCCTTTTAAAATAGATATCAGAAAATAATAAAGAACCATATACGTTCTCCTTTTGAAATAGATATCAGAAAATAATAAAGAACCATATACGTTCTCCTTTTGAAATAGATATCAGAAAATAATAAAGAACCATATACGTTCTCCTTTTGAAATAGATATCAGAAAATTAATAAAGAACCATATACGTTCTCCCTTTGAAATAGATATCAGAAAATAATAAAGAACCATATACGTTCTCCTTTTGAAATAGATATCAGAAAATAATAAAGAACCATATACGTTCTCCTTTTAAAATAGATATCAGAAAATAATAAAGAACCATATACGTTCTCCTTTTGAAATAGATATCAGAAAATAATAAAGAACCATATACGTTCTCCTTTTGAAATAGATATCAGAAAATAATAAAGAACCATATACGTTCTCCTTTTGATATAGATATCAGAAAATAATTAAGAATCATATACGTTCTCGTTTTGAAAATATCACAAAATAATAAAGAACCATATACGTTCTCCTTTTGAAATAGATATCAGAAAATAATAAAGAACCATATACGTTCTCCTTTTGAAATAGATATCAGAAAATAATAAAGAACCATATACGTTCTCCTTTTGAAATAGATATCAGAAAATAATAAAGAACCATATACGTTCTCCTTTTGAAATAGATATCAGAAAATAATAAAGAACCATATACGTTCTCCTTTTGAAATAGATATCAGAAAATAATAAAGAACCATATACGTTCTCCTTTTGAAATAGATATCAGAAAATAATAAAGAACCATATACGTTCTCCTTTTGAAATAGATATCAGAAAATAATAAAGAACCATATACGTTCTCTTTTTAAAATAGATATCAGAAAATAATAAAGAACCATATACGTTCTCCTTTTGAAATAGATATCAGAAAATAATAAAGAACCATATACGTTCTCCTTTTGAAATAGATATCAGAAAATAATAAAGAACCATATACGTTCTCCTTTTGAAATAGATATCAGAAAATAATAAAGAACCATATACGTTCTCCTTTTGAAATAGATATCAGAAAATAATAAAGAACAATATACGTTCTCCTTTTGAAATAGATATCAGAAAATAATAAAGAACCATATACGTTCTCCTTTTGATATAGATATCAGAAAATAATAAAGAACCATATACGTTCTCCTTTTGAAATAGATATCAGAAAATAATAAAGAACCATATACGTTCTCCTTTTGAAATAGATATAAGAAAATAATAAAGAACCATATACGTTCTCCTTTTGAAATAGATATCAGAAAATAATAAAGAACCATATACGTTCTCCTTTTGAAATAGATATCAGAAAATAATAAAGAACCATATACGTTCTCCTTTTGAAATAGATATAAGAAAATAATAAAGAACCATATACGTTCTCCTTTTGAAATAGATATCAGAAAATAATAAAGAACCATATACGTTCTCCTTTTGAAATAGATATCAGAAAATAATAAAGAACCATATACGTTCTCCTTTTGATATAGATATCAGAAAATAATAAAGAACCATATACGTTCTCCTTTTGATATAGATATCAGAAAATAATAAAGAACCATATACGTTCTCCTTTTGATATAGATATCAGAAAATAATAAAGAACCATATACGTTCTCCTTTTGAAATAGATATCAGAAAATAATAAAGAACCATATACGTTCTCCTTTTGAAATAGATATCAGAAAATAATAAAGAGCCATATACGTTCTCCTTTTGAAATAGATATCAGAAAATAATAGAGAACCATATACGTTCTCCTTTTAAAATAGATATCAGAAAATAATAAAGAACCATATACGTTCTCCTTTTGAAATAGATATCAGAAAATAATAAAGAGCCATATACGTTCTCCTTTTGAAATAGATATCAGAAAATAATAAAGAACAATATACGTTCTCCTTTTGAAATAGATATCAGAAAATAATAAAGAACCATATACGTTCTCCTTTTGAAATAGATATCAGAAAATAATAAAGAACCATATACGTTCTCCTTTTGAATTAGATATCAGAAAATAATAAAGAACCATATACGTTCTCCTTTTGAAATAGATATCAGAAAATAATAAAGAACCATATACGTTCTCCTTTTGAAATAGATATCAGAAAATAATAAAGAACCGTATACGTTCTCCTTTTGAAATAGATATCAGAAAATAATAAAGAACCATATACGTTCTCCTTTTGAAATAGATATCAGAAAATAATAAAGAACCATATACGTTCTCCTTTTGAAATAGATATCAGAAAATAATAAAGAACCATATACGTTCTCCTTTTGAAATAGATATCAGAAAATAATAAAGAACCATATACGTTCTCCTTTTGAAATAGATATCAGAAAATAATAAAGAACCATATACGTTCTCCTTTTGATATAGATATCAGAAAATAATAAAGAACCATATAAGTTCTCCTTTTGATATAGATATCAGAAAATAATAAAGAACCATATACGTTCTCCTTTTGAAATAGATATCAGAAAATAATAAAGAACCATATACGTTCTCCTTTTGAAATAGATATCAGAAAATAATAAAGAGCCATATACGTTCTCCTTTTGAAATAGATATCAGAAAATAATAAAGAACCATATACGTTCTCCTTTTAAAATAGATATCAGAAAATAATAAAGAACCATATACGTTCTCCTTTTGAAATAGATATCAGAAAATAATAAAGAGCCATATACGTTCTCCTTTTGAAATAGATATCAGAAAATAATAAAGAGCCATATACGTTCTGCTTTTGAAATAGATATCAGAAAATAATAAAGAGCCATATACGTTCTCCTTTTGAAATAGATATCAGAAAATAATAAAGAGCCATATACGTTCTCCTTTTGAAATAGATATCAGAAAATAATAAGAACGTTCTCCTTTTAAAATAGATATCAGAACATAATAAAGAACCATATACGTTCTCCTTTTGATATAGATATCAGAAAATAAGTTTATGTGGTTCTAATAATTGAATTTCGTACATGAGCATCATGTGGTAGCAAATTCATAAACTCTTGCGTGATGTTCCATTTGAGCAGAGTGTACCAATAGGTTCCTTGGAAACTGTCGCCAGCATTAAGAAGTAATGATTTCGGCTTCTGGCGTCTCAACTCCATAATCTCGCCGTAAAGCCGCGGAAACCCGCCCAAGCAGGAACCATTGTTGAAGCGACACGTCGGTGTCTCTACTGATGTTTCTTCAAACCTAAAAATAATAAGTAGTTATGAGCTCTATCTAAATCGGATTACAAGGCAGTTGCACTTCCCCAAATTCTAATTCTATACGCTATGCACTCTGCTAATTGACAAATCAGACTATGACGACAGACAAATTGGTTCCACTTGACTGCTTAATCCAATTTCCATAGATTGTTGATGGAAGGACAATAGACGATTTACGAGTATCACACAATGGCGGGTGGGAGTGTAATGCAGATGCACACTGGTTTTAGCGTACGTAAGATAGTAGAGGCGAGAAGTACTGTCGAGACCGTCAGATCGGAAAGTAAGCAAAGAAAAAGGAATAGTAAAAATAATTATTGTATTCTTTGCTAAGCATGAGCATTAATTCGATAGCAACAATAAGTGATTATCTGTCCATTAATGATCGCTAGATATAAGACACTGTGAAATTATAAAAGTTATCGAGATCCTGTCCTGTTAAATGTTAAAAAAAAATACTTTTTTTGTTTTAAACGAAAATTAATTTTATATCACTACATAATTAAAATTCTTAGGTAACATACATTATTTTTTCAATTACGATGGGCTGACTAACCCTACCTGAATTACAAGGAAAATTCATCCACCTTCGTGAAATAAAAATGTTGCCATAGTTCGGGGGAACCCGCACTGAATTCTGCAATTCCACCGTTACAATACTATATACTGTTACAATAGTATTTTTAAGTTATTTATATCTATTATATATAATCTCATAAATAAATACAAACATAATTAACACACATTAATTCTTTTTTTTATGACTATCTACCAGATTTTAAAATCGCATAAAAAATAACATTTCTAACCATACAAACTAATTTCAGCGCATTAAGCTAAGTGCCTTGTCAAACGAGGGGCCTTGTGACCCCGGGTCTTTGAACCTATACGGGCACCAGTTTCAAACAATCTTCCATTTCGCTTTTGGTGAAAATAAATAAATAAATATTATTAGAGTTTCTCTCTTCTGTCTCTCTTCTTTTTATCCTTGCTCATGGAGTATAAAGTAAAGTGTTGTGTGTGAGTGTTAAAGTCATATTTTTACTGGGCACGAGGCATTCCATCTTAGTCCTCACGGGTGACAACGCATCTGCATTTGGATTCGTAATCGAGGAAAGATGTAGAAGTCTATGCGCCACAGCAACCACTTACCATCAAGTGTATGTGTGCTCATTTGTCACCCTTAACCTATAAAAAATAATCTTGCGATTCAGGTGTAAATAACCATGTTATCGTCGACAAATCAGGGTGAATGACGAATTTGCCATAGATGTTCATAACGTATATTTTCCGAACCACTAGCTTCAAAACATTTGCTAAGGCTACGGAGATGAGTTTCAGGGTAATTACTCCGTGGCACCGGTCTGCAAATAGATAGATTTCGAAGTTTGGTTCTACTCGAACAGATTTCGTTTCCTTATTGTGCAAGCTTTTTAACACCAACACCAAGTTTAGCCTAAACACAGAGTAACCACTTGATAAAACGTGTAAATAATGTACACAAATTGTCCAAGGCCGTGCTTTTTGGCATTGTTTGGGGGAAACAGGTTTTCAGCAATAGAACTGAACTAAAAGGATTATAATAAAGGCATAAACACAGCTACGTGGCCTAGCATTCAGGCTACTAAATCATGAGTTTTGTTTGATGCAAGACAAAGATAACATTTGTAATAATCAATGTACTTTACAGCATCTTAACCTTCCTCCGATCTTATCATATAACCAAGCAAATAGGCATACTAAATAAAGCAAGATAACAAAAGTACAATGGACCTTCATAGATTATAAGTGGGACACAAGTCAAGAAGGATTTGTGCAAATAAGATCGACTAATTAATTGCTCTTTGTAGGTGATACAAAAAGTGGGATCAAAAGAGTTAAACTTGTAATCAGATCATAGTTTAAACGAAGTGAATATAATCCCTCTTGATTATAACGTTTCAATGACAGGTAAATATCATAATATGTAATAGATTCATTTTAATTATGAAGAGGATTTCATACTTATCACTGAAGCCTAAAAATACAATAGGTGTAGTATATATTATACATTACAAAGTAACTTTTTCTTCAGTGTGTTAGTGCACTATTTATGTAAGACCATATTGCATTTACAATATGTGCGTGAATAACACTATTTTATTACTTCCATAGAGAGATTTTATTACTATGTTAGAAAATACGTGTTTTAATAAATTACTAAATATATATAAATAAATAAAATTGAAGTGTCTGTTTATAATGATAAAATAACATTTTGCTAAATGCATATGAAAATATATGTAGTACTTATTACAAAATCAATTTTAAAATTGTTGTTTGTCCGTCTGTCGGTCTGTCTGCCTGTTTGTTTGTTTTGGCTAATCTCCGAAATGGCTGAACCGATTTTGACCGGACTTTCACAGGCATATAGCTGATGTACTTTTATTAAACTACTCTTATTTTAGAAAAAATAAAAGTACCCCGAAATAGGGTACCCTAAATGAGGGTTCCGCGCGAAAAAAACGTAAAATCCAACCGTAATAAATTCCACGCTGACGGAGTCGCGGGGAACAATTAGTTTAAAACTGAAATTAATTAAGTCACCGTTATAAATAACTGAAGCACAATACATTTAAGCTTGCCAATAGCAACTGCCTCACAAACATTTTCAGAATACTGTCGTTGCCGTCACGGACTCTACGAAGCAAGGATGCTACTTTTGTACGAAAACCCCAACAACATCCTACACGTATTATTATATTGTAATCGCAAGACGTTATAGGTTTGTTTCGTATACGAAACCCATGCGATACCCATGTAGAAAGGTTGACAATATGCTTAAAAAACTGGCAAAATGCGTGCCTACGGTCTCTAAAGCCGTCCGCGGACGGACGAACATGGCAAACTATAAGGGTTCCTTGTTATTTAACTACGGAACTCTTTAAAAAGATAGTTTTACTTGTTTTATACACCGATCAAACCTACGGGCTAGCACAGCACCCACTACTAACACCCCCCGTTCTCTCTCAATATCAAGACTATATTTTGGATCATGTGGCAAGTTTCCTGCCTGCTTTAAATATTCCTTCCTGCTTTAAATACAAACACCTCACTTTTGTATGAGTTGTACTTGAGATCGTGCTTTATCGCCTACTGCTAACGAATAGTGATCAGTTTCCATATAGAACCGATAAAAAGATTGAGCAACACACAGCAACAAAATTATGTATTAAACCACAATTACAATATTTGATTATAACTAGCCTTAATAACAATATTATTTTTATCTATTTACAAAAACAAATCAAATTTATGTATGTTGCTCTATATATTAATTAATGTCATCAAATGATTAAAACTACTTTAAGTAAACGATAAAATCAATCGTCATTTCCTAAAAAAAATCATAATGTCATCAAAGTGTATTGATAATAATACAAATTTTATTTATCTTGTATGTGTCTAGATTAGAGATGAAACGGATAATGATTTCTTAAATTTACGCGAACACTATACATTGAATAAAACTATTATTTACGGATTTTATCGGGTTTAATCACTACTTTCACTTATTTTTATTATCCCGACGTTTCGGATGCTTTACAGCACCCATGGTCACGGGGGGAGACTGTTTGTCGTCCCGTAGTCCGGCTACCTTCAGTTTTTGAATATTAATTTTTGGTCCGATTTACGCAAAACGAGCTTATAGTATCATGAAGTCTTGCAGTGGTATGCTTTGGTTTGGGTTTAATTTTGTTAAATATACGATCCCAAGCAGATGGCAGCATCTATCTATCCTCTCTATTGAAATTTGAATGTTTTTTAATTTCAATAGCCTCGCGTATCATCCTTGGTAAGAATCGGTGTTCTTTTGCGAGGGTTTGTCGTTTATCTAATCTGATGAAATAGTGGGGACGATCTTGAACATGTTCGCAGACGGCAGACTTCCCGGAGCGTCGATGTTTCACGTCAGTCATCGTCACGTTTATGTGTTATAGAAATATTTTCCTTTTAAATTGAAAATTATCCTTTTTAATTGAATAGCTGTTTGGCCGGATACCGGATACCGGATCAGTCTTATCTCCCGATAGCCGAATGTCCGGCCGCCGGATATTAATATTGAAGATAAATATAGATGTCTATGGGTCAGAGCATCCACTTACCACCAGATGGACTGTGTGCTCGTTTGTCACCTTTGTTCTATAAAAAAAAACTAAATTTGATATATTTTTTATCCAGTATCCGGCCGGATAGCCGTTTATTAATCGGTATCCGGCCGGATAGTAAAAGACCGGATAGGCCGAATACCAAATAGCTACCGGATATCCGTTTCATCTCTAGTCTAGATCTAGATCTAGTCTAGAACGATAGTATAGTTTAAGCGATAGTAGCCTAATGGACGCGGACCGCGAACTCAAAAAGGTCGTGGGTTCGAATCCACCATTCGACTACTGGCGTGGACCACTCGTAACACAAGCAATTTAAGCTTACCACGAGTGGTTAAGGGGAATATTAGTAATGTTTATAGCATTATTAATATTCTTTAAAAAAACTTTATTTTTTTCTTAATTAGTCAAAATCTGTAGAAGTTCTTACGTTGTGACACCATTAAGACTGATAGAACTTGACAACGGAACCCTAAAATTACTCATTGGTGGGTCTTTTTTTAATACTATATTTATTTAGACAATCGAGCACACAGTTCACCTGATGGCAAGTGGTTGCTGTGGCCCATAGACATCTACATCTATCCTCGATTGCGAATCAAAACGCAGATGCGTTGTCATCCGTCATCAGTCCGTCTGGATAAGTATCGCCCTTTTCCTTGTATCGTATCAAATAAGCTTGCACTGCTGTGTTCCAATTTGAAGAATACATAGAGTGTGTAAATTAGGGTTTGGGAATTCCCGACAATTTTTTGAGCAGTCGACTGAATTTTTTTGAGCAACTCGTCAATTTTTGCTAAAGCTGTAAGTAATGAAGCGTTTTGTCCGCGTAAAG